CCACAAAATTGGGTAGTAAGGAGGATTTAAACAAACATTTTAAAACCCAAATGTCACCAACAAGTTTACATTTCTACTTTCTGTTCTGGTTACAACTGCCTCGGGGGTGAACTTTTTTTGGAAGTCAGCAAATTTTTTAGGAGGAAATCCTACGCGAACCGGCGAACTTATATGTTTTTTGCACGAAAGTAAAATCAACTCCTTCAGGCGTCACTCTCGGGTAGTGCCGTGCGAATGGAAGGCAAACTCGGCATTATTAAAGCAAAGCAAAAACCCTAATTAAATTTGAGAAAAATCGTTTTTACTCCCCTTGGTCCAAATGCCCGTGGTCATTAAAAATGCATAAAATTCACTTTGTGGAATTATGACTATAATAACCGAGATAATAACACATCTTCATCAAAATGCACGTGGCCCTCGAAACTGTGTAAAATTCACCTCTTAAGAGTTCACATTTTTCGAACGAAATCGGTGCGTAAAAATCGATTTTTACAAAAACACAAATGGAAAATGAAACTTCATAAAATATATTTTGTAGAATAAAATTTCTGGCCGTTTTGTATACGAGACTGTACTAGATCGATACATGGCCAACCACAATATAAATTGGTAATTAGGGTCGTATTGAAGTTTTAAGGGTGAAAGGATTTTCAATTGTTCACTTAGCGAGAGGTAAATTGAGGCTAGCGCTCGGTGATATAAATAAATGATGTATTCGAAGTGTTTGGTAGACCTCGTATTTTGGTCGAATTTTGTTGTGAATAGGCGAATCACTCGTAAAGACTTGGAGATTAGAAGATCGCGACTACAGTTGTGCCAATTAATTCAATCCGTATTATTTCGTGCTCTAAATATGGGAATTTCTCTCACATTTGCATTGTTCTCGCCGTAACTGTAAACATGCCAACATCAATCTAAATATCATTCTTTCAGTTGTCACACCGTACCAATTTCGATGTTCACAATTCCTGAAGAGGCGTGGAAATTGCGCGAGCCTTACTGTTGCGAATTCGATTGTTCGCCGAAGAATTGGTCCACTTTTCCCTTAAAAAAAGCCGGAAACAGGAAGATACCTCGCATCGCGAGTGGTTCACATTAAGATTTTCTAATTGTTAAATAATAGACGTATCCAGGCGAGCGCAAAAAAAACAAATAGGTTCCAATTGATAACAATAATAAACCAATCCGGAACTGCTTTCATTTTATGTGAATGTCGAATTAATTGCTCGGTTAAATTTTAATTTCTACAGTAGTTGAAGATTTTATCGTTCATCCGGTTAGAAATTGTAAAGAAACCATGAAGAATATCGAATTATAATTGATTCGCTCTGGGGTTACAAAAAAATGCGTCGGATAACGACTTTGATTTCTCACGCGAACGTTGTTAATATATTATTAATGCTCGAAAAACCCGCTGGAAATGTAAACTTGCACTGAAATTACAAAATTAGCGCCATTATACTGGACTGGCTTACTTTATCTTAAATCAAGAAAGTTATACTGTGGTATAAAAGGTTTGGATCAATATGGATTTCAAATCAAAAGACAATTTGGAACGAAAAATTCGTTTATTGCGGTTGCAAGAACTCGTAGAAACAAATTACGCGCACTGGGTACATACGTTGAGTATACGAGAATGAATATTCCTTAAAGGAAAATTCGCCCTAGTAGAAGTAGTGTAATCAAAAAAGTTATCAAAATTTGATAATATTCGATAAAGGGGAAAATTAATAAATTGCCAATTTCAAAATGACCCAATACTTGATTAGTTAAAAGAGATACAGAAAAATGTTTATTACAAAAGTTCCTTATAATGATTGTTGAATAATCTGATATTTTCGTAACATATAAGTATACGGAGTCAGTTAAAAAGATATCGGACCTAACCTCGGTTTTTTTTAAATTAAAACACTGAATTTTAATTTAAAAAAATAGCATTCAAAAATATGCCACACTAGAGGACGAAATTAAACAAGTATAAATTGTGCTTGTGCAGATAAAGCGTATTTTTTTTAACCGAAAAAGCTTTTGTTTTGTTATCGGCCGCCTTAGTTATTATGGATACAATGAACAAAACAAAATCTCCTTGAATCCATGGCTAAAATTTAAACAAATATAGTTTGTCATGCATCAATGTAATCACGAAAAAGAATGTTTAAAAAATGACGTTAAGATATACAGAGAGTTGCATTTTTAAAAATGGCAACATTTGGTTAAATGCCAAAAACGGTGGTCCAAATTTTTTTCATTGCAAATCTTTAGACCACCAACAATGCAACATTCCTTCATCAACCTTTCTAGTTTTCCATATTACATTTTATTATTAAATACAATGGATCCAAGTATATAACGACCAAGGACTAATAATTATGCATACCCAAGTGTAAACCTGTTTATTGAAAAGGTGTAGTTAACATTTGAAAGAAGATGCACCAATACCAGTTTTCCTTACTAAATTTTTCTATACCTAATGACCAGGCTACAAGATAATTAGTGTGACAAAATTAGCAACATTTGCAAAAATTTTCAATACATTTTTAAGTCAATGTTTAATGACGGGACAATTAAAAAATATTAAAAATAAACGAAATGATATCGGCTCATGTTGAAAAAATTAGTAATACAGAGCTTGCCGTTTTGTTGCCTTAAGTAACATGGAAATAAAATTTTTTGTTAACTTATTTTTGAACAATTGACGTCTTGACCGGACTGGTAAATTTAGCACTCGCAACAGTTTTATCTTTGCAAGTAGATACATATATTTATATTTTGGTTGAGCATCACTGATTTTTGGTGGAGGGCCACTGTATTTATATAAATTGTATGGTATTTCGTCGTGGGCAATTATGATTTGTGCGAGGATTGGTGGATTCTCAAATGCGTTTGGATTGGATTTCATTTCCGCTTCCCTCTTTCTTGCAGCGCGGGTTACAATTTTTAGTTTCCAGTTTTAATTTTTATATATCGATTTAAATCGTAGTTAAGCTACAGACTGTACTTGGAACGAAGATAACGAAAATTGGGTCAAGGGACTATTTATTTACCTTCATTCGTCAATTAACCAAGCATTATCAGTAGTTAATTTCCTCTTCAACGATTGATACGAATGTAACTTCCGAGATAATTTCTTTAAATTGTGAATGTCAGTAACTGAACTGTTGCAAAAATTAGAAAACAAGTACAACAATTTAAATTGACGAGATAAACTTTGGGATTTTGTTAAGTTTATTTTCTGAATATAATCACCGAATTCGAGATTGAATTCAGTGCTCTTTTAAACTTTAGAAAAACTTTCTAAGAAAAACAAAAAACTTGGTGGGAAAACAGATCAACACAAGACAAGCCAGTAAAAGGATGAGGTCGAAACATACATGCCAAATCAAGTTTCTCAAAGAAAATCTACAAACCTTCAACCAAATAATATTTATTTTTTATGATCCACTTAAACTTATTAGCACGTTGCCATACACCATCAAAGGGTGTGATTGAATGAGAATTAACAATATTTTTAAAGAGATGACAACGAGGTTTAAAAAATTGTACATTTTTTAGGGAGTGGACAACACATTGGTGGAACATTGTTCATTAACTGGGCTGCTTACAGCACCTCTACGGATGAAAAAATCTGAGTTAGATATATTTAACTTTTATGAATGCTGAGAAACCCATCGGCCCATGTACATTCAAAACTTGCGAATAAAACCATTCTAAGCTCGTTAACTATCGCGAGATCTATCGTCTAAGTCATAAGAGACCATTTGAAACCTGTATTGCTATATGTGCACTTTTAAATACCGGTCTCGATACTGGCATTCATTATATACTACGAATCAGTGATACTGGTTAAAAAAGGAAACCGAGTTGTCACTATTACACATCCAATGCACGGGCATCTGAAATGAAGTACCTAGATACTAAAAGAACTTGATAGGATTTGAGTAAATAGCAGTAAATAATAGCTAATCATTAATTAAATTAAGAGGGGGGTAACAATGTGCAGAATAGTACCAGGTAGATTCCTTGCTATTCGTTGCTACTTTAGCAGAATCGCCGCAGGCATTTTAAGTACAATTTAACTTGCCTGCTTTCAGATGTCGCGTTTTTTGAAAATCTGAGGAATCTATTTTTTTTAAATAATTGAGTGTCGCGGCAAAAAATAATTTTGCGTTTCCATATTGGTATAGATATTTTTTTTCTAGTCACATTACAGTGGTTGCTAATTATGAATTCCTATTCATAGATGTAACTAAAAATCAAATTACGGACGCAGTCCTGCAAAGAATATTCAGTATACATAATTTGTTAGGTACCATAGAGGAGGATTAATGTAATTGCAACCTAACTCCTAATAAGAATTAAATTAATCAAACAAAAACAACCAAAATAAACTGCGACCTTGAGATCGTTAATCCATTGAAGTATTCCGTTTATCTTCCTAATCGTAGTAAACAATAAACTCGGCCGCTTCAAACAGCCAGCGCAATTTCGAAGCGTTTGCTTAACCAATACAAATCGAGTTCACTACAAAAACATCTTAACGGTATTACCATGTTGGTGTTGGTTGTAGGCACAGGGAAGCAATTCTGGGTTACGTCTTCGTTAGGTATATTGTTACAGGTAGCAAGAACAGTTTCAAATTCAAATTGTTTTGAGAGCACTGAGCAATTAAATGCAAAATACCCACCGTAGTTTAATCACTCAACTTCTTCAGAAACGTGTAAAAGAGTAATTAGAGCAAACAATTTAATAGACCAAAACAATAAATAAAATATTTACATCAATTCAAATCTCACACTACTTTACTTTACTTTAATTACACCGTGAATAATGAACAATACGTGTTGAACTGTTGTTACTAAAACAACACGTGTAAAATACTAGACGCAAATGTTTACTTTACGTAACTTTGTTTATTGATAACAATTTAAAATATGTAGATGAATAATAAACCACAATCGTCATCAAATGCACACAAATAATGTAACAGTGAAAGGACTTACTTAAACAATAAGTTACACAACTTTTAAATTCGCTCGGAGTTTTTACTCCATCCACAAATTTAATTATAGAAACTCCTCGACACGAAATTGTAGCACCTTCGCTTATACACCGCGATTATGTCCCCTTGTTAAGTACTGGACACATGTTGTTTTTACAAAAGGTCAACGCGAAAAGTTGCTAACAATCGTCAATCGGTACCTACATGCTTTCACTAACTCTGAATGTTGTAAACTGTTGCTGTTTTTTTCGTTTACGTATTTGTAGCGGCAGCGCTATATTTACCAAGGAAGTCATGGGCGACATCTTACGTTAGTCACGTCAGACGATTGACGGTAACTTTGATACCGGTAATTTAATTGAAAAACCTATTCTCTACTTTTTATGATTCTAGAAAATAAGCGACTTTGCTAGCTTTATACGACCGAGTCAGTCTTTTTGTATGAAACAGACAGCGATGCAATGGTACAGAGTAGAAATATTAATTCATTACAATAACATACAATAAGTAAATTATAAAAATAACAAAGGACACAAGAGGATGTCTTATATCATTGACTAATAGGGTATAAGTCAATGCTTATATATATATAAGATTGTTTCATATCCTCCTTGGTCGTAACAAGGGCCTGATATAACCTAACTCCATCAGAAACTCCTGGGCGCTAACAAACAGGACATCCGTTGACCAACGATTTTAAAAAGAGGGCATTGAATGAAGAGGGCAACTAAAAGTTTTCTAACCGTCTTGCTAAAACACATCCTATTTCGCAGGGCTAACAGAAAGATGGCAGCTGTCTTCCCAACAAAAAATAGGATGGCAAGTTGCAGCTGAAATAGCTGAAGGTGGAAATAAAAGAGTTACAATGAAAAAATGCGCAACTAAAAAAATTCAAATTATTCTTATATCTAAGCAGGCGAAATCTAACTACGACTTATGTCTTAAGTACGGTGGATTGCATGAAGGTGCTATCCTAAGTTGCCTCCTTTACCTCCCCTCACAGCCACCCTCAGCCTCTCGAATTATGCAGTATAAATTAACTCTCGGATAACACCTTTCAAAATCCACCTTCATTGATATCAAGCAAGCAAGTTGAAATCAAACAAGCGAGATCTAACTACGACTTATGTCTAGAAAAGCCACTAAAAAAATTAAGGGATGCAGCTATAAAAATAGCTGACTGTTGCAAAAATTTATGTTGGCAAGTTGCAGCTGAACGTTGAAAAAAAAAGGCGATGGCAGCTGTTCCCCGAACGAAAAAAATTAGGATGGCAGCTAAAGTAGCTGAAGGTGGAAACAAAAGAGTTTTACGATGAAACAATGCGCAGCTGAAAAAAAATTGGAATTATTCTTATATCTAAGCAGGCGAGATCTAACTACGACTTATGTCTAGAAAAGCCACTAAAAAAATTAAGGGATGCAGCTATAAAAATAGCTGACTGTTGCAAAAATTTATGTTGGCAAGTTGCAGCTGGACGTTGAAAAAAAAAAGGCGATGGCAGCTGTTCCCCGAACGAAAAAAATTAGGAAGGCAGCTAAAGTAGCTGAAGGTGGAAACAAAAGAGTTTTACGATGAAACAATGCGCAGCTGAAAAAAAATTGGAATTATTCTTATATCTAAGCAGGCGAGATCTAACTACGACTTATGTCTAGAAAAGCCACTAAAAAAATTAAGGGATGCAGCTATAAAAATAGCTGACTGTTGCAAAAATTTATGTTGGCAAGTTGCAGCTGGACGTTGAAAAAAAAAAGGCGATGGCAGCTGTTCCCCGAACGAAAAAAATTAGGAAGGCAGCTAAAGTAGCTGAAGGTGGAATCAAAAGAGTTTTACGATGAAACAATGCGCAGCTGAAAAAAAATTGGAATTATTCTTATATCTAAGCAGGCGAGATCTAACTACGACTTATGTCTAGAAAAGCCACTAAAAAAATTAAGGGATGCAGCTATAAAAATAGCTGACTGTTGCAAAAATTTATGTTGGCAAGTTGCAGCTGAACGTTGAAAAAAAAAAAGGCGATGGCAGCTGTTCCCCGAACGAAAAAAATTAGGAAGGCAGCTAAAGTAGCTGAAGGTGGAAACAAAAGAGTTTTACGATGAAACAATGCGCAGCTGAAAAAAAATTGGAATTATTCTTATATCTAAGCAGGCGAATCTAACTACGACTTATGTCTAAGTACGGTGGATTGCATGAAGGTGCTATCCTAAGTGGCCTCCTTTACCTCCCCTCACAGCCACCCTCAGCCTCACGAATTATGCAGTATAAATTAATCTCGGATAACACCTTTCGAAATCCACCTTCATTGATATCAAGCAAGCAAGTTGAAATCAAACAGGCGAGATCTAACTACGACTTATGTCTAGAAAAGCCACTAAAAAAATTAAGGGATGCAGCTATAAAAATAGCTGACTGTTGCAAAAATTTATGTTGGCAAGTTGCAGCTGGAACGTTGAAAAAAAAAAGGCGATGGCAGCTGTTCCCCGAACGAAAAAAATTAGGAAGGCAGCTAAAGTAGCTGAAGGTGGAAACAAAAGAGTTTTACGATGAAACAATGCGCAGCTGAAAAAAAATTGGAATTATTCTTATATCTAAGCAGGCGAGATCTAACTACGACTTATGTCTAAGTAAGCCACTTGCAAATTAAGGGATGCAGCTATAAAAATAGCTACCTGTTGCAAAAATTTATGTTGGCAAGTTGCCTCGTTGAAAAAAAAAGGCGATGGCAGCTGTTCCCCGAACGAAAAAAATTAGCTAAAGTAGCTGAAGGTGGAAACAAAAGAGTTTTACGATGAAACAATGCGCAGCTGAAAAAAAATTGGAATTATTCTTATATCTAAGCAGGCGAGATCTAACTACGACTTATGTCTAGAAAAGCCACTAAAAAAATTAAGGGATGCAGCTATAAAAATAGCTGACTGTTGCAAAAATTTATGTTGGCAAGTTGCAGCTGAACGTTGAAAAAAAAAGGCGATGGCAGCTGTTCCCCGAACGAAAAAAATTAGGATGGCAGCTAAAGTAGCTGAAGGTGGAAACAAAAGAGTTTTACGATGAAACAATGCGCAGCTGAAAAAAAATTGGAATTATTCTTATATCTAAGCAGGCGAGATCTAACTACGACTTATGTCTAAGTACGGTGGATTGCATGAAGGTGCTATCCTAAGTGGCCTCCTTTACCTCCCCTCACAGCCACCCTCAGCCTCTCGAATTATGCAGTATAAATTAACTCTCGGATAACACCTTTCGAAATCCACCTTCATTGATATCAAGCAAGCAAGTTGAAATCAAACAGGCGAGATCTAACTACGACTTATGTCTAGAAAAGCCACTAAAAAAATTAAGGGATGCAGCTATAAAAATAGCTGACTGTTGCAAAAATTTATGTTGGCAAGTTGCAGCTGAACGTTGAAAAAAAAAAGGCGATGGCAGCTGTTCCCCGAACGAAAAAAATTAGGAAGGCAGCTAAAGTAGCTGAAGGTGGAAACAAAAGAGTTTTACGATGAAACAATGCGCAGCTGAAAAAAAATTGGAATTATTCTTATATCTAAGCAGGCGAGATCTAACTACGACTTATGTCTAGAAAAGCCACTAAAAAAATTAAGGGATGCAGCTATAAAAATAGCTGACTGTTGCAAAAATTTATGTTGGCAAGTTGCAGCTGAACGTTGAAAAAAAAAAGGCGATGGCAGCTGTTCCCCGAACGAAAAAAATTAGGATGGCAGCTAAAGTAGCTGAAGGTGGAAACAAAAGAGTTTTACGATGAAACAATGCGCAGCTGAAAAAAAATTGGAATTATTCTTATATCTAAGCAGGCGAGATCTAACTACGACTTATGTCTAGGAAAGCCACTAAAAAAATTAAGGGATGCAGCTATAAAAATAGCTGACTGTTGCAAAATTTATGTTGGCAAGTTGCAGCTGAACGTTGAAAAAAAAAAGGCGATGGCAGCTGTTCCCCGAACGAAAAAAATTAGGATGGCAGCTAAAGTAGCTGAAGGTGGAAACAAAAGAGTTTTACGATGAAACAATGCGCAGCTGAAAAAAAATTGGAATTATTCTTATATCTAAGCAGGCAAGATCTAACTACGACTTATGTCTAGAAAAGCCACTAAAAAAATTAGGGGATGCAGCTATAAAAATAGCTGACTGTTGCAAAAATTTATGTTGGCAAGTTGCAGCTGAACGTTGAAAAAAAAAAGCGATGGCAGCTGTTCCCCGAACGAAAAAAATTAGGATGGCAGCTAAAGTAGCTGAAGGTGGAAACAAAAGAGTTTTACGATGAAACAATGCGCAGCTGAAAAAAAATTGGAATTATTCTTATATCTAAGCAGGCGAGATCTAACTACGACTTATGTCTAGAAAAGCCACTAAAAAAATTAAGGGATGCAGCTATAAAAATAGCTGACTGTTGCAAAAATTTATGTTGGCAAGTTGCAGCTGAACGTTGAAAAAAAAAAGGCGATGGCAGCTGTTCCCCGAACGAAAAAAATTAGGATGGCAGCTAAAGTAGCTGAAGGTGGAAACAAAAGAGTTTTACGATGAAACAATGCGCAGCTGAAAAAAAATTGGAATTATTCTTATATCTAAGCAGGCGAGATCTAACTACGACTTATGTCTAGAAAAGCCACTAAAAAAATTAAGGGATGCAGCTATAAAAATAGCTGACTGTTGCAAAAATTTATGTTGGCAAGTTGCAGCTGAACGTTGAAAAAAAAAAGGCGATGGCAGCTGTTCCCCGAACGAAAAAAATTAGGATGGCAGCTAAAGTAGCTGAAGGTGGAAACAAAAGAGTTTTACGATGAAACAATGCGCAGCTGAAAAAAAATTGGAATTATTCTTATATCTAAGCAGGCGAGATCTAACTACGACTTATGTCTAGAAAAGCCACTAAAAAAATTAAGGGATGCAGCTATAAAAATAGCTGACTGTTGCAAAAATTTATGTTGGCAAGTTGCAGCTGGACGTTGAAAAAAAAAGGCGATGGCAGCTGTTCCCCGAACGAAAAAAATTAGGAAGGCAGCTAAAGTAGCTGAAGGTGGAAACAAAAGAGTTTTACGATGAAACAATGCGCAGCTGAAAAAAAATTGGAATTATTCTTATATCTAAGCAGGCGAGATCTAACTACGACTTATGTCTAGAAAAGCCACTAAAAAATTAAGGGATGCAGCTATAAAAATAGCTGACTGTTGCAAAAATTTATGTTGGCAAGTTGCAGCTGAACGTTGAAAAAAAAAAAGGCGATGGCAGCTGTTTCCCGAACGAAAAAAATTAGGAAGGCAGCTAAAGTAGCTGAAGGTGGAAACAAAAGAGTTTTACGATGAAACAATGCGAAGCTGAAAAAAATTGGAATTATTCTTATATCTAAGCAGGCGAGATCTAACTACGACTTATGTCTAGAAAATCCCCGCTCGATACGGGTGGGAGGATAATACTCGTACCAGTAAGGTAAAGTTGAATGGAATCGTGTATTACACAAATGGCCCAAAAACTACGGAGGGCACCGGCTGTGGAGTGTACGGAATCAATGGACAGGGCTTCAGAATCTAGGACAAAAAGTAACCGTGCTCCAAGCAGAAGTATACGCAATCCTGACGGAAACTGCTCAACTACATTAACAGGAAACCTTACCAAAAAGGAAAATCCTCGGGAAAATCTTTAGAATAACAGACAGCAAAGCCCCGATTGCAGAATTAGACTCATATGCAGTAGATTCAGGACTCTTCCTTGGATGCCCACAAGTACTAAACGCATTAGGAAGCTGTAACCCAGTCACAACTGGAATTGGCTGCCCCATCGATTATATCTATTTGCCCTTTTAAGAGTGGCGCTCAAAATCGAAATTACGTGTAAATGAAAGCTCCTAAATAGCTCGTAATTCATGCATAAAAATTAATCTGAAATAAGTAAACGATAACAGAGGAGGGGCTACGTCCAAGTGGAACTGGCCGCCCCATCGATTATATCTATTTGCACCACCACGAAAAGGTGCATCTAACGGGGGGACCCCCATTGACAGATTCATCGCGTCCCTTCACCCACTTTCATTTGGCCCCACCAGCGGGTACATCGCGCTCCTACTCATCCCTTTCCACTGACCCAACCGATAAATACATCACGTCCCCTTTGGCCCCAACGACGAATTCATCGTGGTCCTACCCAGCTCCTTCCTGAGGCTCCATCAACGGATGCATCAGTCCCAACCACCCAGCTCCGTTTAGATCCATCAACGAACACGTCGTGTCCCTTCCCTCTACTTTCCTTTAGATCCATCGCCCCCACCCTCATTTCCTTAAAACACACACTTTCCTTTAGACCCACTCATTTAAGGAAACATTGTATCCCTAACCTTCACTTTCCTTTATCCCAGCCAACAGATACATCGTTTCCCTAAAAATACACTGTCATTTTACCGTATAGACGAATAGTGCCATCGTGTCCCTACTCACCAGTTTAATTTAGCCGCACGCACGAATACATCCCCCCCCCCCAACTTTGGTCCCTACAACTGATACATCGCATCCGCAGCATACCCTACCCATCACTTTCCTCTGACCGCCCGAAGAATGAATCGCGTCCCTTCCCCCCACTTTCTTTCGGTCACACCAACTGATGCATCGCTTCCTTCCCGTCACTTTCCTTTAGCCTTATCAACGGATATATCGCGTCCCTACCCTCAACCTTCCTTTGGCCCCACCTACGAATATATCGCGATGCCATCCTCCATCTTCCTTTGGCCCCATTGACGGATACATCGCGGTTCAACGTTTGCTTAGTAAGTACCCTCTTCCTACACTTTGAGATATTGACATTTGAATTTTGAAAACCATTACTTTCGTTGAGAACTGTCATTCGAATACCATGAAAATGGGGAGAGCATTAACATTCCCCAACATTCATTTCAACTGAGGTTTCGACCAATACAAAAGTAGGAAGGAACAGCAGAATACTACATGCAAAAAAATCAAATTGCATCAAGGTGCTATACCCAGTGGCCTCCTTTACCACCCCTCACAGCCACCCTCAACCTCTCTTTTAAACATTTAATTTATTAATACATCAATGATTATCAAAAAAAATATTACAGAGGTACAACACCTTATGAAATGCACTTTAATTTACAACAAACAATACCTACAGTACCTACTAATACAATAAAAAAAAGGTTATGATGGATAAAAAATTGAATGTGTAAATCAATACAAGAATAGTGAAAGTTATGTAAACAGACAGTGAAGAAAAGATAAATAATAGGGACAGTGAAAAACTCGAGAAGTGTGCAAACCCGATACTGAAGACGAAAGTAAATGGACCACAAACAGATGAACCTGAAGCAAGAATTGTAGACATACCAAAAAAAAAATCGAGAGCCACATTTATAGAAAAATGAAAATACAGAACTAAACAAAACTTTTCAGTAGAAAAAATTAAAAATGATCGGTCATACAATTATAATGCCCATAAGATCGAAAAATAGGTGAAAGAAAAATTAAATTGCCAAAAAGTCAACTTTTGATGTATAAAAGTTCCAAAAAAAAAGTCCTAAAGAAAGCATTCTACAAAAACAGTACCTGCTTAATATGGATGCGATTTTACAATTAGACAAATAGGCCAGTAGGTGAAGGTAATTCTTAAGGCTGTTTGTGAATGGACTATTTCGTTTTTCATAAATTTCAGGCGTAATTATAGTCCGATTTTTTTGAAATTTTGCACATTTGTGCAGTTAACTGTTACTATTTGCGCTGAGATCTCAAAAATTGAATAGTTTTAAAAACAAGCAAAAATTTTTGTAAATAATAGACATATCAAAAATCGAAGATCTCAGCGCGTACTATCAATGAAAAATAATAGGGTTTTATGAAATGACAAATTTCCATTTTTTTGTAAATAAATCTGTAATTTATGAAAAAAGGTTTAATTTAATTTTGCTACAGACGGTGCTGCCTCTAGCAGTATATCAAATTAGTGTATGTTAACTCCGCCGCTTACTCCCACCACTGACAATGCGAGTTGCGAGCACATTCGGTTAGAATTTTTATTTCTTCACCTTCTTTTCTTTATCATTATTATGGTAATTTTAAAATAAAAAAAATTATATTTACATGACCATTTTAGATATCGCGGGACAATACGTTTTGGGAAAGTAAAATGAAAAGTAAATTATCAAACTTTTATGAAACATGTCTTCTCCCCGAAATTATCGACCCTAGATTTCCTAAGAATTTATCCATAAGGAACCCTGAACGATAATTATTTTAACACTTTTCTTATCCGAAGCGTGGGTAGGCAAAAATTTGTTACGACTTTATATTTATTTTTGCATTTTAGTGAGTTTGTCGAGGTGGATAAAATTTCATTTACTTTGCACATTTTAATTGAAACTTCAAATCGCATATACATTTAGCAACGATTTACAAGCAAAAAAGTCAACGCATTGCTTTCCCAATTCCAATATACGTGAAAACCGCGGAGAAGGGTTTCGGTACTATTCGGATACTGTACGGAATAAAAAGGTACGTTCTAATTGACTAGCGCGTATTACATTGGTTATTGTCTTTCCGCCTTAATTCTGTATTCCCTTTACCGTTGCCCCGCAGGTGCAAGTCGAATGATAGTTACAAACAACCTTAAGGCCAGTGATAATTGGAAGAGAGAGCTGAAGAACAAAAAAAAAAACCAAGGAGAAATGCATGAGACAAGACAAAAGACAACTCTAAATATGTTTATAGACAATGGACAAAACAAAAAATGATTATACAAAAACAATACCTTCACAGAAATTGCGAAAACTGAAAAAGAAAATAAGAGTTAACGTAGGATACAAAATAATGCAATCCCTTATATGAAACGTTGAAAATTTGGAACGGCAATTCTTAGCATCTATAATTTGGGATACAAATGATTACCACAAGCAACTAAGTATACACACAACAAGATATTACAACGCACATTAAAAAAGAACACAATACGGAAATCGTACAAACAGATCGATCAGCCAGTAATTGCTGCTTCAAAAAAAAAAGAAAAACATTCAAAAACTTAACGAACCCACAAAGGGAAAAGGGCAAAGTAACTGGCAATCAAATACAAAAAGGTGAAAATACGAGGTACAAACTGGAAAAAGCAAGGAATTAAAAACAGATTTGGATGCATTAGCGATTACTAAAACCAAGAAAAAGGTAAAAGAGCAAGAAATATTTAAATGGGAGATATTTTTTCTGACGCAATGAAGAAGCAAAAATGAATGGCTAGCGGAAGTAGGTACATATCTAAATAAGGCAAATTACATGTAAGTGCTATATCCCTTTTAGTGGCCTCCTTTACCACCCCTCACAGCCACCCTCATCCTCTCGCTTCGAAATGTTTAATTTTTTTTAATCTCAATCATGATTATAACAAAAAAAACAACATTACCCGAAAGGGTTATAACACCTCATGAAATGAGCTTTAATTTACAACAGTACTACTTCTAACTAAGGTTCCCCCTGACATACGCCTTGGAAACCCCTGTCAAACGAACTGCTTCCAAAATGGTGTGCTGTAAGGAAAATGTATTAGGTGCATAATGCATATTCATAAGAAAAAACGAAAATAATTGATTTAAGAATTGGGCGTTGACTATCACTCAACTTGGGAACGGAAGACATGATTCCAATGTGTCTGCACAGGTTTGTTCGCAAAGACAATCGTTTTGCTTCATAAAAAAAAGTACAATTATGAATTCATACTTCTACAAATTAATATGATGCAAATTGATTGATTCCGCCAAAGATACCTTTGAAGAATCATTGCAATCAATCTTATGTCACCAAGATAAGAAGACAACTAAACTTTACTTACGATGTACGATCAGTTGAAAATATCTCCAGACACTATTCACTTTTCCCCCACTGCTTAAAATTAATAAAAGAAAAATCCTACCTTTATATAGCTGCCCTTCTCGAATCTGTAACAAGAAGAAAAATTCTGTTAAGAACATTGCCAAACTGTGGGTACCTACTTAAAATTAAGCGTGAAATTTCCCTACAAAGTCTTATGACAAAAAAAACTAAAACCGTCCACGTTAAATAAATAAATATAAGTACCAATAAATTCTCTTAGAAGAAACGCAATTTTAGTTTGTTTAATGAGTCTATTGGGTGTACTCACCTCTCTCGTATTCAATATCCATACAATTATTCAACAGGGATGACGATAATCTTGAATCAAGATCCACTACCGGAGTTGCTTGTGTAGAACTGATACTGGGAGTAGACCGATCACTTGGCCCTGCGAATAACCAATGAAATTAGTAAAACAATGTAAACACACAATGTAATAATTTATTGTAAGAGTGGGCTCGTTTATTAAATAACTGTAATATGATCTTATGGCATCACAGACCAGTAACAATAAACGAACATACTATTTATTAAGTCAACTACTCACCCTCTTTTTAAAAACTATTAAGCCGATCTTCATGTAATAATAAATGAGGTATAACAATCATCAAATCCATGGCACTTGGAAACGAAAGAATTGACTACAATACTTCTCCATAGTCTCGTTCGTCGACCAGTCAGTTTACGTCTTATCATTACTGTGGCTATGAATACATAATCGCTTGTTAATATAACGAAAACTGACGCAGACTTCGAAAGGGACTAGGTACTTAAAGAATCATTGCGGTAATCTTACATCGCCAAGATGATAGATTGAGAAGATAGTCACAACTCACTTACTACTTTCTCGGTTAGCTCAATACAGTTGACGATCTTCTTTTTAGTCACCATATGCACTAGTCACTTTTCCCCCCTTTACACAAAATATGACATGCAATACACCATGCAAAAGAGAAAAAATCCTACCTTTATAAGGCTGCCCTTCTGATATCTGTAACAAAGAATAAACGTATGATAAAAAAGAGACACATTATTAATGTTATGTTTCATTAAATTAGCACGCTACATTTAAGAAAAAATTGTAGATTATTTCTACCGGAAACATTACATTTCGGTTTAGAAAAGTTTTTATTGATATGATAGAATCAGCAGATGTGAATGGCTAAACATAATTAGAAAATGGAAACATACCCTTAGCCTTATTAATTCCGGCCTAGCCTGGGAAGCTTCATCAGGGAGGTACGATGCACTGCAGAACCGTTGGCTGATATCGACAATCTCTTCAAAGATTGCGGGGAACAAATCGGGTGTAAAGCGGTCTCACTTTGCGAAGTAACTTCAGAATTAGCTGTTCTGGAACCTGAAACAAGAAACAAATTTACGTTTTAAAAATGCGGAATGCTTAAATACATTTATTTAAAATTACTTAATCGAAATATTCTAAAATCGAAGTCTCCTTAAAGAAGACTTCCTGCTGCATTCGGGGAATGAAACTCAAATTCTGGTTAAAAAAAACAACAAATCTGTCGAAAAGAGGCATGCTGTCTACACAAGCCCAATTAGCAAAATTTAAACTCACCCTTTAGACTTATCACTACAGTTATGGATGGGTGGCGGCTAATAACAGGATAGTCGGTACAGTGGAGAACAGTGGCTGGATACGCTCGAAAATACTATGAAGGATAGGTATTTCACGTTAAAAGGTGAGTCACCTCCAATAACGGCAATAACTGAAAAGTAAAATATAATATGACAAAGGATTTCTATTGGCATTGGCAATGCTATACAAAAATATATTTAAAAAACATAACAGCAGTGTACTAACCTCAGTGGAACCATCCGCGTTATTCAACGGGGTTGGCGATACTTCATGGCCCCATCGACGAACACATCGTGTCCCTTCCCTCCACTTTATTTTGCACAAGGCAATGGATACATCGTGTCCCTACTCTAAACTTTAATATGGGCCCAAAAACGAATATAACGCGTCCCCGTCCTAAACTTTCCTTTGGTCTCATCAACGAAACCATCGCGTCCTTATCCTCAACTTTTCTTAATCCCACCAATGAATACACCGCGTCCCTAACCTCCTTGGCTCCATTAATGAATACATAAATCCCATCTACGAATACATTGTGTCCGAACCTCCATATTCGATTGGCCCTACCGACAGGTATAATGCGTGCTAACCCGCCACTTTGTTTTAGCTCCATAGACGTATACATCTCGACCCTTTCCTTGGCTGCACCATCGGATACATCGCGTCCCTACGCACCACTTTCGTCTGACCCCACCGATAAATACATCAAGTCCCTAATCTACTTTCCTTTGGCCCCACCGACGAATACATAGTGACGGTACCCAGGTCCTTCATGACATACCAAACAAAAATTGAGAGCCACGTTTATGGAAAAATGGAAATACAGAACGAAACAAAACTTTTTAGTGGAAAAAGGTAAAACTGAAAGGTCAAGACGATGAGTCATACAATCATAATGCGCATAAGTACCAAAAATAGGTGAAAGAAACATGAAATTGCCAAAAATAAATCAAATTTTGATGTATAAAAAAATCCAAAATAACGTCCTAAAGAAAGCCTTCTACAAAAACACTCCTCAACTTGGATAGGATTTTACAATAAGACAAATGGGCAAGTAGGTGAAGGTAATACTTAAGGCCAGCTACACCCAAGTGATAATTGGAAGAAAGAGTTGAGGAATAAAAAAACAAAAAAAAAGACAAATTAATAAGACAAGACAAAAGGAAACAGAGTTGCAATAAGAAAATAAAAATTAGGATAACGCGTAAATAAAAAAAGGAAGACTTTGAGGACACGAAAAATATGTAAGAAAAAATAACATTATATTCTTAAAAGAGATCAAGTAAGTGCTGGAAACAAAGGTGAATTGGATACGTTTATATCACATCGGAAATCATAAAATAGAAAGTACAGAAGCTTACGAGATAAAAAATGATTGGGGTACCTAGCCAAAATAACTGCCGAACTACTACAACGGAAAACACCAGAAGAGGGGCGTATGCTAAAAAACGAAGATTATCTAGTACAACAAAAACAATATGGAACTGTTTGATAAATTGTAGATTAAATGAAGGAGGTATTTGCAGTGTGTGTAGCACCCAAAAGAAGAAATTTAAAAAAATCGGAAGATAAAATAAAGCCCATACAAATTGAAGACAAAGGAAACCAGAATGGCACAAATAAAGTTGATATCAAAGCAGATGAAACAAGAAATTTAAATTTATACAAAAACAGTACACAGAAATTGCGAAAACTGAAAAAGAAAATATAAGAGTAAAAGTAGGATACAAAATAATGCAATGATAAATGCATCCCTTATTTGAGACGTTACCAATTTGGACAGGCCAGAAGCAACTATGTATACACACAAGAACGCACATTAAAAAAGAACACAATATATGGAAATCGTACAAATAGATCCATCAGCCAGTAATTGTTGCCTCAAAAAAAGAAAAACGTTCAAAAACTTACGGAACACACCAAGCGAAAAGGGCAAAGTAACTGGCAATCAAATACAAAAAGGTGAAAAATATGAGGTACAAACTGGAAAAACAAGGGGATTAAAAAAAGATTTGGATGCATTAGCGATTACTAAAACCAAGGAAAGGTAAAGGACAAGAAATATTTAAACGGGAGATATTTATTCTGACGCAATGAAAAATTAATGGGTAGCGGAAGTAGGTACATATCTAAATAAGGCAAATTACATGTAGGTGCTATATCCCTTTTAGTGGCCTCCTTTACCACCCCTCACAGCCACCCTCATCCTCTCGCTTCGAAATGTTTAATTTTTTTTAATCTCAATCATGATTATAACAAAAAAACAACACTACACGAAAGGGTTATAACACCTCATGAAATGAGCTTTAATTTACAACAGTACTACTTCTAACCACAGATTTAAATATACTATAAATCTGTGTTCTAACTAAGGTTCCCCCTGACATACGCCTTGGAAACCCCTGTCAAACGAACTGCTTCCAAAATGGTGTGCTGTAAGGAAAATGTATTAGGTGCATAATGCATATTCATAAGAAAAAACGAAAATAATTGATTTAAGAATTGGGCGTTGACTATCACTCAACTTGGGAACGGAAGACATGATTCCAATGTGTCTGCACAGGTTTGTTCGCAAAGACAATCGTTTTGCTTCATAAAAAAAAGTACAATTATGAATTCATACTTCTACAAATTAATATGATGCAAATTGATTGATTCCGCCAAAGATACCTTTGAAGAATCATTGCAATCAATCTTATGTCACCAAGATAAGAAGACAACTAAACTTTACTTACGATGTACGATCAGTTGAAAATATCTCCAGACACTATTCACTTTTCCCCCACTGCTTAAAATTAATAAAAGAAAAATCCTACCTTTATATAGCTGCCCTTCTCGAATCTGTAACAAGAAGAAAAATTCTGTTAAGAACATTGCCAAACTGTGGCTATCTACTTAAAATTAAGCGTGAAATTTCCCTACAAAGTCTTATGACAAAAAAAACTAAAACCGTCCACGTTAAATAAATAAATATAAGTACCAATAAATTCTCTTAGAAGAAACGCAATTTTAGTTTGTTTAATGAGTCTATTGGGTGTACTCACCTCTCTCGTATTCAATATCCATACAATTATTCAACAGGGATGACGATAATCTTGAATCAAGATCCACTACCGGAGTTGCTTGTGTAGAACTGATACTGGGAGTAGACCGATCACTTGGCCCTGTGAATAACCAATGAAATTAGCAAAACAACGTAAACACACAATGTAATAATTTATTGTAAGAGTGTGCTCATTTATTAAAGAACTGTAATATGATCTTATGGCATCACACGCCAGTAACAATAAACGAACATACTATTTATTAAGTCAACTACTCACCCTCTTTTTAAAAACTATTAAGCCAATCTTCATGTAATAATAAATGAGGTATAACAATCATCAAATCCATGGCACTTGGAAACGAAAGAATTGACTACAATACTTCTCCATAGTCTCGTTCGTCGACCAGTCAGTTTACGTCTTATCATTACTGTGGCTATGAATACATAATCGCTTGTTAATATAACGAAAACTGACGCAGACTTCGAAAGGGACTAGGTACTTAAAGAATCATTGAGGTCAATCTTACATCGCCAAGATGATAGATTGAGAAGATAGTCACAACTCACTTACTACTTTCTCGGTTAGCTCAATACAGTTGACGATCTTCTTTTTAGTCACCATATGCACTAGTCACTTTTCCCCCCTTTACACAAAATATGACATGCAATACACCATGCAAAAGAGAAAAAATCCTACCTTTATAAGGCTGCCCTTCTGGAATCTGTAACAAAGAATAAAAGTATGATAAGGTCAGTTTCTTAAATTACATTTTTTGGAATTTATTATAGTTAATGCTGAAAGACCACACTGAAGTTCTGCCTTTGCACGCTGCATTTAAGAAAAAAATGTAAATTATATCTGATGAAAAAATCTCATTTAAGTTTAGAAAACCGTTTATTTATTGTGCTCGTAGTATCACCAGATGTGAATAGCTAAACATATAAATATAAAATGGAAATTTACCATTAGCCTTATGAATTCCGGCCTTGCCTGCGAAGCATCATGAACAGTAGAACGAACGATGCACTGCACAACCTGGAGAAAGAGGTCTCACTTTGCGAACTGTAGACCTGGCAAACCCAGTGGCATACAGAAAAATCTGTACTGGCACCTGAAATAAAAACAAATTTACGTTAAAAATGCGAAGTACCATGCCAAGCACATTTTAAAAATCGAAGTGTCCTCAAAGAATACTACTGTGTTAGAGCAATTTTACTCAAATTCTGGTTCAAAAATCTCTCAAAAAGTATTATTTAATTCTTTTCGGATATTTAGGCAAGGCGCGCACTTGTGATGGGTGCCAGTATCGATCTTGTCCTTCGCTTTCGAAATAAAAAAAAGAAGCGGTATTAGGTATTGCGTAAATAGAGCATGTCACATCTTTTTTAATCTCTCGCAATTTAATTTATCTTCGCTTAAAAATTAAGTGTTTGAATGACTAAACGATCATGCGCGCCTAGTCTTACTAAGGCTCTCTAACTTTTTAGAGCTCTAGTCTTACTTGTTTGTGGTTACATATGACCAAATTTAAAAAATGTTAAGGTTGCTTTTTGTTACATTTTCCGAAAAAACGATATAATTTGGGAACTAAAGAATGAAGTTTGTATGGTAAAACTTGTATCTTCTCTTCTGTAGTATCTTGTTTAAATGGCCATTCAAGTTTTACAGATTTTCTTTGTACCGGATGATTTCGGTTTTATTTCTTTACTTAAACCGCCGAAATTTGGAAGCTGGACAATTCTAGATGATGACATAAAGAATTCGACGAAACTTTTATCATTTGATGATTTTAAGTAGGTAGGTACATATTTTGCGAGGAATTTTTATGTGGCTCGGTAAATGTAGAATAAGTTCATCTCAATTTATCAGTATGCAAGAAGGGTTTCTCATTTGCTGCTGTACATATTTAGAAAAACTGGAGGATTCCCCTGCAGGATATGTAACACAACGGGCGATAAAAAATGGAATGGAAGTACGATTTCCTGTGTAAACAAAACATTCCAAAAGTAACTGGACTACTGTCATTTTTGATAGCATACTATGTATTTACATTGAACCGTAAAAACTGAAAAGTTTACAGAGGAAAGCGTGCTAGAAATAAAAATTTTATGAAAATCATCCGGGAAACGTTTTTTTTAATTTCCAACCTTCAAGAAATATGCAAAGTTGTAGGAAATTTAGAAAGCTTTCTTTTTATCAAGGAAAATTTTTCATTACAATACTAAAAACTAAAATTGGGCATTCTCCATGATTCCAACAGTAGCTGCCAACTACAAATGCAAATTAATTCAAAATACTTCTGCACTCTTGAATTTATTTAATGGGTCTTGATCTCATAAGTAAAGTGAGAAATGTTACTCAAAATTGTCATTTCTTCAAGGAGCGCAAACAGAATGGCAATATTTACATTATGGTTCAATATTTATTAAATTTAATATGTAGTGGGTATTGTTAACAGTTTTTAAATTACGTGCACTCTGCTCTTCCATTGTTCTCATCCTATGAAATGACATGAGTAAGGAACAACATGAAGTTGGAAGTACAGATGAACATTTTGAATATCTCCGTTATGGCTTGAGCACTTAATTTGTATAATGCGGCAAAAATTGACACAAAATTATACCGTGTTAATGACTCGAATATCTTCAAGTGGTAGCTCCATCTTTACAGACCTCATTTTATTGCATGAGAAAAACTTTTGAAACAAAAATGGGCCAATAATGAAAATTCAAAATCATAATAAATAGTTGCCACTTGCATTAAGAAAAACACCTTTATAAAAACAAAAACTATACATTCTACCTGCTACTCCGAATTAGGTTTTCCTGCAGTTTTTCTAATTCGTAAGATAAATACCGGAGTAGTACAGAACAACTTAAGACCTTCTGCAGAGGCACCTCTAAAAAGCATTATGCGGGTCACTCTGTAATTGGGCACAAGCCTGTTGAGGGCCCAGTACAAGAGAGGGATAATAAATTAATTAATTAATTAAATAATTAAAATCACCGAAAAGGGGTATTAAAAAGATTCTAAAGACACAAAAAATTGGCTTTTTTCATGATCGGTAACAAAGAATATTTTCAATCAAGTGAGAGATTTGTAGCAGACTTCATATTAAACTCGAAAAGAGCACACTTAATTCCGAAGCACTGAATACAAACATACGTGAAGAGTATTAAGACAAAAGAAACCGCAAAAAAAAACTACGATAATTATATGATAATTCCCAGTTCATTAAAAAAAAGTGTGTAAGATAGCGTTGTAGCAACTTCATACATAGATCCGGGTTATGCATACAGCCAATGATACTGTAGTGCTTGAATACACTATGCGTTTTAACTGGTCCCGTTTGACCAGACCGTTTTGAACGGATTACTGCATCCAATGGATTTAAATGCGAGCGTTTACACTTGTCCGGTTGCGTTCCGGTCACCACAAGCGACCGCAGCTTGCTGCGATTCAGCCGGATGACCGGATAGCGGGATGATACCAAAAACACGTGCATTTATATGTAGGAGTTTATACTATCCGGTTCTACCGCTGCGGTTATATAATTTTTTAATATGTTTGATGTTCAAAGGTTCATCGAATGTGTCTAATAATTCATCGACCGATTTGGTTGACGTCCGAAATATTCAAAACACTTATTTTCGTACTTGCGTACATTGATAAAAAAGATCCAAAACCGATTGCTGGATTCACGCTCCGCAAACAACGGACGTATCCAGTAACGACGCTTTTGGGGCTCTTTTAAGCAGTTCAGGGCTTTAAGAGCGCAAACCAGCACTACCTTTGACGACACTACAATTGCTAATAAATAAATGGATGCGTTTTCCGATGGTCATGTAGACGCACGCAACCTTCCGGTTTTGCAGGATGCGTTTAAAACGCATAGTGTATTCAGGCACTTACTACATCATTTACACATATTTCGAAAAAATATTCCAACACCATTCGACATAATAGATATTTTTAACATAACTACAGCAACATCATGAAAGAACACCGAAATTACTGATCTCTTGCTGTTTTGAATCATTCAAATTGAATTAATGAACAATTTTGTGCGGTTTGGTGATATAACAGAATATGACTTGTAATAAATAAGTATTGGTAGTTCTTCATTAGATCACGTATTTTCAAAAACAGTCCTTCAATTACTCTTGAAATTTCTAGCAAGGGTTTGGGAATTGCAATTACCATTTTAAAAATACATAGTAATGTCATACTGATCGAAAGTGCTTAACACCTAAAATTTGCTTTGTGTACACATCAACAAGAAAATAAAAAATACAGCAGAGTATGTTGGGATAGTGCAACTACCAACAGTTTACAACACACCTTTTATGGACAGGCTGTAGAGGTGGGGTTGTGTAATGTATAATTATTTCCGCCGTCAATGTTGGAAGGCTTTCATCAACTGGTACATTACTCCTTGGATAAATTACACGGCATCCAAACGGAACCACCTAAAAAATACAACACTTATTGATATATTCAAAAAAGGGCCTATGTGATTAAAAAGAGCAAAAAAATACGCAATTATATCGCAATCGCAATTATTTGATTTTTTCCACGTTGCAAGTCTAATAAGATCCTCGAGTATCCAGAGCTGGGTAGAACTTGTAGTGAGAAGCCACTTTTATTTGTAAAGTATGGTTGGCTGTCTAACCACACAGCATTATTCAATATGCAAACATCTTACCAAAGAATACCCTTACTCTTTGATTTTACCAAAGATCATAGTGTAGTATGATCTTTGATTTTACTAATGTATAATGGTATAGATGGAGTTGTGATAATTAAAGTGTGTGTGGACTACATGATGGAAGTCCAGAGGGTTTAATTTTGAAAGTGAAGCTCCACCTCAACTTGCCTCATCTGACACATTACGATGATCATTTTTATTAATGAGCGAGTTTATAATTTTGCGGTGTCTGTCCATCTGTCAGCAAAATCTCAAAAACGAATGGCCCGATTACGATGAAATTTTGCAGGTGGATTCTTTATCAAATTTGTAGGTCGGAGTTCGTAAATTGGCAATGTAGACCAAAAAATAAAGAAAGCTCTTTTGATATCTCTGATAGTTATGAACCAAATTGCATGCAATTCAAAAGCCATGTAATATGTAATGCCTAGCCAAGTCAGTCAGGGGCTCGTTTGCTATATTTGTTTAATTTATTGAATTTCTCAATGTACAGATGAAAATATCTCAAAACATGAAAACCATTTGACAAACCGATTTAATTAAAAGAACTTTTTTAAACTGAACACGCATCAACTACAAGAGAAAATCTACTGAGCCAAACTTGATCTTTGGTACATTGCATTAGAATCACTTTCCCAATATTTAAAAATATGCAGAAATATTAGTGCATAAAATTTGTGAAATCAATTACAAACAATTCAAAAATACTGTTGCAGAATTTGCTAAAGAATCAGAAACTGTTTTGAGTCTCAAAAATAATATATTGTTTACCAAGAATGAGAAGTCAACCCAGATAATACGAATCAAAAGAAACAGAGAAGCGGAAACAAAGCAGAAAAGTAAACTTACTCTGCTTCTTTTCAACTTCTCTGCTCTTGGCAACAAAATAATACTGTTGTTTGAATATATTCAGCAAAACATTTGATTAGACTAGTCTGCAATGAAATTAAGGCTGGGATTGCCTGAAAAGAGAAGTACCCATAGTAAAGGACAAAGTTTTTTTCGTTAAAATGTGCTGGTACCTAATAATGAATAGCGTAACTACAGCAGTTTTCTATACAAATATTTAAATAATTATACTCTCTTTAAGTGGGCCCCAAACAACACAGAGGGTGCTTTAAAAAAATGCAATTTGATTTGCATAACCACACGACAGTCGACAAGAAGATACAAAACACAAACGCAAGGTCGTTCACGGCTCCTTACAGACTGCTAGGTTAACAAAATTATAATTAGCTCTCTACCACACATAACTTGAGGAGAATAATGAACCGCTTGTAACGTAACTTTATGAAGTAAAAATCGCGTAATTATTGGCATGGGGGACTTTCAAAATTAAGGTCGTAAAATTGGTTCACAAGTGGCGACAGGGGCTTTTTGTTTGGGAGGACCCTCAGTAAAACTCTTGATTCCTTCACTTAATGAAATTCAATGTCATTACGAAGTGTGTTTGTTATAACGATCCTAGTGCCTATTCAAATAACAGGTAACGAAGACTTTGTAACTAACAAAATGTTATTACAGTAAAGACGCGTTTTGACTTTTAGGACTTGGAAAAGTTCAACCATATTTTCGTTTTTTTTATATTGTTCTCTGAAACGGTAGGGACATTTCGAATTAGAACAAGCAAAAGCTTTTATGGAGAATGGATTTTTGTCAAAAAGTATAGTAAAAGTTTTTCTTCTTGTAAAGTCAATCCGGGGACACGGTATACCGATTTTTTTTTAAATTTTTTAGCCGCTTATACCTAAATATACATTTGTTCCCAATGTCTTACATTCGAGGGATGGTGTTTTGTAAATTAGTAATTGACAGGCTGATTCGAATTCGAGGGCCACCATGGGAATCTCGGGAAATGTAAGAGATAGGTAGGTGGTAAATTTGGCAAAGTTGTGTATGCTTAACAAAAACAGTTTTGAAACTGAAATTCTGACTACTTTCGGAGATATCCGGAAAAAACGAGATTTTGAAAATCGTTTTTGTTTTTTACTGAAGTTAATAGTTATTTACAAAGATATTTAATAATAAATGACACATTATTATGGCCACTTTTTTCCCTCTACAAGATGCTACTTTTAAATTTGAAGATTGACGTTTCGTCTCCGGTTAACTATAATCATTGAATACAAACACTATAAGAAGCCTAACGCTTATTCAATGCTATAATCAACTTTGTTTCTTATGGAAGTAATTTTTACTTTTTGTGCGATTTGATAGTGAATTTTTTTCTGATTTCAAAAATCAATGTTTTTAATCCTTGGAAAACATCTTTTTTGCCTTTGTCTTAAGTAACGTACGTAAGTAGTTTCTTGCGTTTTTACGAATTAACGTTATTTCTTATTAAAACTAGATGATGTTACCATCAAGGGTAACTTTGTCAAATGTAAACTACCTATCTCTTACAGTTCCCGAGATCCCCATGGTGGCCTTTGAATTTGAATCACCCTGTATAGGTCAATTATTACACATTACACTACTATAAACTGACTAAACTAATACTAATAATATGTAATAGGTACTATCATTGAATAAAGAGCTTTATTCAATGGTACTATTGAAGTTCAAAAAATTTAATTTGCAACAAGGTATGGATTATAAATTACGGTATTTTAATCTGCAAAGTGCAATAACAATAAGCAAAGATAAAGAATAAGGAAGACGGTCAAACAAATCGCATTACAAATAAACACCCACACAAGGTCGCAACTTGCCAGACATCAACAACAATATACAACAGCCCTTTGTTCTAAAAATGACGTAAAATTTTGATATTTGTTATAAAGGAATGTTACCTATCCCCATTTCTATTATTTATTTCATAAAACGATAGGTAGAGGAGGTTACCTTTTGCAATGAATAGGAAAGAGAAACCAAATAAATTTCGAAGCAGTGAACGATCTTTTTCTTGCTGTCAGCAAATTCTTTTACAAGCAGGCTCTGTTTAACCTTGAAAGAGAATCGCTAAATGATTTAACATAGGCAACTTACATAGCCTGCTAGTTTTTTTATGCTCGTAAATTTTTGTCTTTTGTTATCCCCATTACACAGTACTAGCTCAACGGTACTAGCCTAGTTAAAAAGTAAGAACAACTCCATCGCAAGATAAAAGCGCTTAGGTACCTATTTCATATCTTTATCGTATTTTTTACCGACTTCATGAAACTCTTGGTGGCACCCTCTGTGAGAAAGAAGCTACACTGTTGACCGCGATATTAGTCACAGCTGCGTAGTTTATTTCCATTTCTCCAGTTCACATGCCCATTTTTCAGAACTTCATTCACCACTTTTTTTATGAAAATTTTTGAGCTTCACATAAATTGCCAAAATATAGATAAGTATTCACGCTACCGATCCCATACATTCGTATTGCTTAAAATGCTCCCTAATTTTTGCAATTAATTCCTAAACTATGAACTCTTTTGACGCATGTTTTCTAGATTTTTTAAACATATATTAATGGACAAAATATCAGTTTATATTGTATGGAAACTATGCTCTGTACATCTATCTACCTAATGCATATTTTTCCGATCATATACACCCCTTGCTTATGGAATGGTGAATGAAGTTCTGAGGCAATGCACGCCCCATTGAATTACATGTGCATCACCAGTTGCCTATATTCTCTAAATCCAAACCTTAAAACTATAAATCGGCCTGTTTTACAGGAATTATAAGATGCTTGTGGATTCTTTGCGAGCACGTTAAAATAAGCCACAGAATGCTTAGATTTTGCACGTTAAAACTTAAAAGATTTACCGCTTTGCTTACCCAGCTCTGCTTACCAATATATTCTTATACTAATAATAACTTAACAAAGAGAAATAGAAAATTATTTACAATCAAGTATGGTTGGTTTCCTAACTTCCAGATTCTAACCATTTCTAACATCTTTCCTGTGCACACTGGTGGTAAGGGATTGATCTACTACTGTATCCACTGCCAATATTAACCAACCCAGCTTTTCAACATTGATCCATCTTCCTTGGAACAAGAAGTTTGGCACGCCATAGTAATTGGTCCACCTAAAAAATATGGCCGTACTAAAAAAACTGTCAACCACAACAATTGTAGGTAAAAACATGAGTATTTAGTATTTTTAAATAGGATAATTTTATTATACACTTGAAAATGTAATGGGTTCGTACCGAAACATGTGTACGGCATAACTTTTTGTAAGCAACTTTAACACTTCATTACATTCTTTGGGGAGATCATGAATTTCACTTATTCATTTTTGCAACTAAAAATTTAAATATTTTTTGGTTCACGTGAACAGAATCAGGATTTGAGCAGTACAATTTCACTCGCATGCCAAGGTGAAACCGCCAATGGTATAAACGAAACATAAATCTCAAGCAATCAGCACTTTCAACTGCAAATAATCACAAAAAAATATATAATTGCTTCAAGCTATTCTAATTTTACGACAAAAACGTAAAAAAGATGTGACTGCAAACAACGTCTAATCTCATGGGGCTATTACATTTTTTAGCCTTGCCCAAATATTCAAATGTTATGAAAAAATACTAAGATATTGTAAACTACAAACAAATACAACCATTATTATCAAACTTGGTCACTAAAAATCGACCTGTATGCCTTTAGAAACAAACTACCGAATATTCATTGAAATATGGGATGCTTGCAAATTCAAGTGCTTACAGGCCTTCAACAGACCAAAAAGCTTAGTGTTTTCAACTGGAAATTACATTTACAAATCGCGAAAATATGTAAAACTCAATAAAAAAGTTGCTAGGGAATGCAAGGACTTTATATGAGTGATGCTAACCACATAATTTCGCTTTGAGATAATAATGGCAACATGAATAACCATTCACAATAAAGCAAGTTTAATTATACATCGGACATGACCAAACGATCGAAGGGAATACAAACGTTACATCTAATTTTGTTAAAATGTCTGGTAACTCATGGCCAAGCGAATCAGCGCGCAGGGATGGTGATCTTAATTTAAGTGGGTGCGTTGATTACCAATTGTGTGTAGTTTGCCAGAAATTATGAACTTTCTTCTGAAAGTTTTAAATCACTTTTCTTTGATTTAAGGGATTATCCCTTATCATCCCTAATCAACGCACCCACTTAAATTAAGATCACTATCCGTTGACTAAATAAGGGATTGTATACAACCCTTAAATCACACAAAATTAATTTCACATCTTCGGAAACGGATTTCAATTTCTGACAAGGGACAAAGGACAAAGGAAAAAAAGATTGTAATTAACATTTAAAATTGTAAGTACAAAAATATATGACAAGACACAAAACAATTGGAAATCATCCCATCTACTTACTTTAAAGTCGTCATCCACCAACCAAATGATTAAAATGTGTGTAAGTTTCACTCCAACTCGGTCATTAGTAAGATAATTGACGAACCACAGCACCAGATTGGGACAGGCGTTTAGGACGTTAAAAGTCGTGATCAATTCATCGTTGCGGCATTGGTTGCAGCCTGCACTCCCAAATAGTCCTCTCCTCCATTGAAAAGTTGCTCAAAATGAAGACTAAAGTAGGTATAAGTCGAGCCCTCTTCGCAAGCTGAACATGATTGTGCGTCATCATACTGGACTAGTCAACTTGAATTTTGTTTCTGTAATGCGGTCTCAATTTATCCATTAGGTTCGTACAAAATTCCTGGTAGTCTTGTTTGTGGTCAATCTTGCCATATTCAACCAAGATGTGTTCGATGTCAATGGCTGCGACGGTGGTGGTGGTAAGGTTAGTTGTGTTCGTGTTACAGTTTTATTTAAGATCGGTGGTGGTGGTCGTGGTCCAAAGAAACCAGTTGACAGCGGTTGTTCCCAAATGATCGGCTTATGGAAACACGACTACTGCAAGCCACGTACATACGAACTTTTTAACATCTGCTTGTCCAAGCAAACCACGACAGTTTGAAAGATTGCCCCCTGCGCTTTGTGCATGGCCAGCGCCGAGACCGGAGTGACGGAGAATTGACACCATTCAACAAAAATGTCCGAAAATTCCTTTTTTGTCTTAATTTGGGGCGTACATCTGTCTAATGGTATGTACTGGAATCGCCTTCCTCTAATCTTCTTGATCGAACTGCAGCCAAATCCTTTTCAAACACAACACGTTACTTTCTGATCTTTCAACGGCCCTTAGAAAACAACAGGCGCCATTTACCAGCCCCTCCTTAACGTCCATGTTCAGTTATCATATATCGGGCGCCAACCAACAAATGAATGCTTGATTGATACCAATATGAGACATCGGTCCGGTATATTACTGAAAAAAAAAATTATTACATATACACGAAAAAATTTAAAACGTGTCTAAAACCTACGCATATTTTTAAGTTATAATTATTTGTTTTTCGCAAATAAAAAAGTTTTTTTTATAAAAACAACTATTTTTGAATTGTTTATTAATAAATGTAGAGCATTCTCAAAATTAATGAAATAAAAATTTGTATAGCAAAAGAGCTCCTGTGTATGGCTACAGCTTGGCATTGCATAAATTATATGGCTAAAGCTATGCTCATTTTGAATTCCATGCAATTCGGTTCATGACTAACGGAGATGTAAAAGACGCCTTCCTTATTTTTGAACTGCATTGCCAATTCACAAACGGACAGACAGATGGACAGAATTAAATTACCACCAGATGAGTAGATGACAAAGGACTTTGAATTAACCAAAAATTCGATAAGCCGCTTGTGAGCAAGAGGCAAAGAGAACAGTTTGAAATGTGTTTTTTCGATTTTAATAGCCCTTATGATCATTTCATGCCTTAACGAGAATACAAACATGAAATAATTTTTAATTTCTGATCGGAGTGACACCAATACCAAGTCTGAAAGTGGTATAGTTCCAGAGCCTTTATGACTCAGACAGACGGACAGATAGACAGACAGACATCAATAGCACAAAAGTGCACTTTTTATTTTTTGAAAATAGAACAAAAAATTCCTATGATTATTATACTCGAAGAGCTTTACACATAGAAGTTGCAAAAATGTATTAGACAATAGTATGCCACTTGCCCTTTATAATTACACTTAAAAACAAAAATCGCGCATTAAAACCACCAAAAAGATTCAATAAAATCACAAAAAAATTTGTTCATGGTCAACAACAAAGAATATCTTCAATAAAGTGAGAGATTACACATATTAGAAAACTATAGAGAAATCCATAGCGGACTCGAAAATAGCACACTTTATTTGGCTAGGTTAAGTTAGCACACTCCTAAATCGGCACCCCCATTTGTTATATTTTCAAAATATTGTGCTGATTTTGTGCTAATTTCAGCGCCAATGCCCAAATGTTGTGTAGGTACTTCTCGTTTGCAAGAAACTCAAATTTTTTGGTTGTCGGTCCAACTTAGTACCTACTGGAACAGCATCATTCTGCAGAAGGTTGTAATCAACGTTTAAAAACGTACAAAAACTTCTGAAGGGGCACAAAACAATTGAGAATCATCCCGTCTACTTACTTTAAAATGACAGTCTATCATCAAATAAATAAAGGGTGTAATTAACCCAGTATCACACAAAATTAATTTCAGACCCTCCGAAAAGCATTTCAATTTCTGCAGAGGCAGAAACGATAGGTTTTCACTTGATCTACTTACATACAACCCCCGATTCATTAGCTAAAGGAAACGAAAGGTTGTAATCAACATTTAAAATCGTACAAAAATTTCTGAAGAGGCAGAAAACAATTGAGAATCATCCCGTGTACTTACTTTAAAATGAGATTCTATCATCAAATTAATAAAGGGTGTAATTAACCCTGTATCACACAAAATTAATTTCACACTCTCCAAAAAGCATTTCAATTTCTGCAGAGGCAGAAACGATAGGTTTTCACCCCATCTACTTACGTACAACCCCCGATTGATTAGCTAAAGAAAACAAAAGGTTGTAATCAACATTTAAAATCGTACAAAAATTTCTGAAGAGGCAGAAAACAATTGAGAATCATCCCGTGTACTTACTTTAAAATGAGAGTCTATCATCAAATAAATAAAGGGTGTAATTAACCCTGTATCACACAAAATTAATTTTACACCCTCCGAAAGCATTTCAATTTCTGCAGAGGCAGAAACGATAGGTTTTCACTTGATCTACTTACATACAACCCCCGATTCATTAGCTAAAGAAAACAAAAGGTTGTAATCAACATTTAAAAATCGTACAAAAATTTCGAAGAGGCAGAAAACAATTGAGAATCATCCCGTGTACTTACTTTAAAATGAGAGTCTATCATTAAATAAATAAAGGGTGTAATAAACCCTGTATCACACAAAATTAATTTCACACCCTCCGAAAAGCATTTCAATTTCTGCAGAGGCAGAAACGATAGGTTTTCACTTGATCTACTTACATACAACCCCCGATTCATTAGCTAAAGAAAACAAAAGGTTGTAATCAACATTTAAAATCGTACAAAAATTTCTGAAGAGGCAGAAAACAATTGAGAATCATCCCGTGTACTTACTTTAAAATGAGAGTCTATCATCAAATAAATAAAGGGTGTAATTAACCCTGTATCACACAAAATTAATTTCACACTCTCCGAAAAGCATTTCAATTTCTGCAGAGGCAGAAACGATAGGTTTTCACCCCATCTACTTACGTACAACCCCCGATTCATTAGCTAAAGAAAACAAAAGGTTGTAATCAACATTTAAAATCGTACAAAAATTTCTGAAGAGGCAGAAAACAATTGAGAATCATCCCGTGTACTTACTTTAAAATGAGAGTCTATCATCAAATAAATAAAGGGTGTAATTAACCCTGTATCACACAAAATTAATTTTACACCCTCCGAAAGGATTTCAATTTCTGCAGAGGCAGAAACGATAGGTGTTCACTTGATCTACTTACGTACAACCCCCGATTCATTAGCTAAAGGAAACAAAAGGTTGTAATCAACATTTAAAATCGTACAAAAATTTCGAAGAGGCAGAAAACAATTGAGAATCATCCCGTGTACTTACTTTAAAATGAGAGTCTATCATTAAATAAATAAAGGGTGTAATTAACCCTGTATCACACAAAATTAATTTTACACCCTCCGAAAGGATTTCAATTTCTGCAGAGGCAGAAACGATAGGTTTTCACCCCATCTACTTACGTACAACCCCCGATTCATTAGCTAAAGAAAACAAAAGGTTGCAATCAACATTTAAAATCGTACAAAAATTTCTGAAGAGGCAGAAAACAATTGAGAATCATCCCGTGTACTTACTTTAAAATGAGAGTCTATCATCAAATAAATAAAGGGTGTAATTAACCCTGTATCACACAAAATTAATTTTACACCCTCCGAAAGGATTTCAATTTCTGCAGAGGCAGAAACGATAGGTTTTCACCCCATCTACTTACGTACAACCCCCGATTCATTAGCTAAAGAAAACAAAAGGTTGCAATCAACGTTTAAAATCGTACAAAAATTTCTGAAGAGGCAGAAAACAATTGAGAATCATCCCGTGTACTTACTTTAAAATGAGAGTCTATCATCAAATAAATAAAGGGTGTAATTAACCCTGTATCACATAAAATTAATTTCACACCCTCGGAAAAGCATTTCAATTTCTGCAGAGACAGAAACGATAGGTGTTCACTTGATCTACTTACGTACAACCCCCGATTCATTAGCTAAAGGAAACAAAAGGTGGCGGGTGGCAAACTACGTCTAAATGGGTAGACGTTTTATATCATTTACGTACATATACCTATATCTACCTATACCTACAGGTAAATTAATGTCAACCCACTTGTAACTTTATTGAAATTTCAAGAAATATGTAGTTTACTTACCCCTTTGTAATGATCGGCGATTGGCACAAAAAGCTGGGTAGATCACTGACAACATCATACTGGAGGGAGGGGAGGCGAATAACGGCTTCCAAAATGATCGATTGCACCCCTTGATAGGATTTTCTGGATGCTTGGCAGCTTGCAATTTGTCGAAGCTAGAATATGATACCTATATTAGAGATTAGATAACACAAGTTAGATTGAGAGAACAAAAACACTTTTAATTCCTTACTACTGCTTAATTAAATCAAGCCTTCGATCAGGGACCAAACGCCCAACGCCCAAGTGACGCTATCACAAAAATGAAATCAAAACCCTCTACCTATACCTACCCATTGTGAATTCACTGCTCGTTAGATTAATATACCTAGATTAATTAAAGTATACCTATACCTAATGACCAGATTCATAATGCAGTAATTACTCACCCTGAACGTGTAACCGGATTGTACCATGAATAACGCTCGCGGACGAGACGACAAAATGGCGGGCGTTTGGCCATGAAGGACTCCAAGCTTTTCGTTCTCAAACGAAAATTATTTTTTACTCATACTCCTGAAACCTTCAATCGGCTCCCAAAAAGTTTGATGGCACCCTTTGATAGGATTTTCTGGCATCAGGATTGTCTGGACGCCTTGCAGTTTCCAATTTATCGAAGCTGGAATCTTCTACCTAAGTATTAGAGATTAAGGATAACACAAGTAAAATTATGAGAACAAAAACACTATGAAATTAATAAAAAGCGTTTTTCTTTAATGGAAACCCTTGATTAGGTAGGTAAAAAAAAACGGCCAACGCCCGAAGTGATGCTATCGCAAAAATTAAACTAAACCCATTACCTAATATGAATTCACCACTCGTTAGATTAATTAAAGTATACGTACCTACCGAATGGCAAGGTTAATAATGCATTAATTACTCACCCCCAACGTTTAAAACGACTGCATCAGGTATAACGTTCATGGACGCTGCATAAAAATGGCCGACGTTAGGCAGGTCAAAAACGACTCCAAGCTTGGTTTTAGTCTGCAACCTGCAACCTTCCATCAGCTCTTGGACATCACGCACAGGTATTGACGATGCTGACGATCGCAAGCTGTAAAATTAATTAATTATCACGATATATATTAGGATTGCTCTATAAACTGTCTGTACCGTTATGAACCGTGTGAAAGAAGAAAAATGAAAGAACACTTTGAGCCGTTGAGCAGTCGAGCTATACACCACCACCCCTCTTACTAAACTACGAGTATGCGCAATAGCACAGTTTTTGACGAACATGGAGACCCTTATAAAATCACCTCAAATTAAAGTACCTACGCTACCCAACTAATTTGATCAAATTAACCCTGTTTAAACTATGCAAATACATTTAAAATTAAAGGATTTCAACAATTAACTACTCACCCCAGACGCACATTGTAAAATTGATCGCAAAATTTACCAAACATTCGATGCTGTACCGGCACACCGTTAACTAAAAGCTCGTATATAATTACTTAGGTACCTACTTTAATTAGGTGATTGCATCAAAAGTCAATAATCGCTAAACAAAAAAAGTTAATTTATACCGCTGCACTAACGCGTTACTGATGCACATGTTTGCGACCTTGTAAGCTCAAGCTAGATTAAAAAGTAAAAAGCTCAACTGAAACCGATGACCTCAATTCAGAACGCCTGCGATTGGTTATAATTTGAATTCGTCTAGGACGATACTATCCGTCCCAATACATTCGATTCGTATTTTTCCTGGAATTGTGCTTGCTTTGGATTTTTATCATACCTTCACGCCGGTGGCAATTTCGATCAATCCGCAATATAATTATTAAAACGAGAAGTATACAGAAACTCAGGTTAATTTACTTTTAAGTTCCGTACAAGCAATGCGTTTGACGTCTTTGAAAAATGTGAAGGTCAAAGCCAAAAATTTAGTCTGAAGTCATAATTTCATGCGCTAGACTAACAGTTGCTATAGTGTTCAAAAATTTCCATTTAGGGGCATTTGGATGCAGATTCGTGTTTGTTTACAATGAACGTATACGTAAATATTTCATAATAGACACTTTGGACAAGCACTGTGTAAACGTGTGCGTATTACGTAAACGTTACTTTGTCACGGATACGTATACGTATGCTGTGAGTTAAGGTTGCTTTAGTTAGAACTGTGTTTTTCTAAGGTAGTGTATCTGACGTTTAGAATATTTTTCAAATACACAGACTCTCATAACCCAACCGTAAAGCTATGTTGCGTACATCGGTTTATTCTCAAGGCTACACGTATCCGCATGATAATACGTAAAATGGGAGGAGCCTAACGTAATGCGATAAGGATAAGTCATACGGATACACAGCTCTGTCCTAAGTGTTAATAACGTGACTCGTACGTATGGTTTCCGTAAAGTTACTTCGCTGTTTACAATAAACCAAAGATCATACTACATTTAGTAGTATGATCTTTGACCGTACGTAACTCTGTAACATTTTCAACTTTTGCGACTATGCGCAAGACTTGCATATGGCTTACTTATACCTATTTAGGTACGTAAAGTAAAAATTACGTTCATTGTAAACACCTTCGTATGTTTCTATACAATTCAATTATTTACATAATAATCATAGGTATTTTGTTTATCGATCTGTCTGTCACAATGTCGAGCGTTTGATTTCTTAACCTTGTCAAAATTTCTAAAACGTTTTACACCTGAGTAGCTACCTAATGTACCTACACCCTATACCTAGGCAAACATTTCTTAAAATTTCAAATACAATTAAATTATGTAGATAGGTACCTACTTCCGAACCTCCTCAATGTTCTCAAGTTATAGGTATGAGAGATTAGACCCTGAACATACCTATTCGTACAAGAGATCCTAAAGTAACTAAAAAGCTGTCGAGTATGAAGTGGGTACCTAATAATGTAAAATAAAAAACATTTCCAGTTTCTGAAGTCTAAAGTTTGTAAACTACCTATTTAATGGGAATTTATAACTTTAATATTTCTTTTTAGCGCATTTTTTAAGAATTAAAAAAAAAATGCTATTGTTTGCGTTTTGTCCGTCCGTCCGTCCGTCCGTCCGGACCAACTTGTACCGTTTTGAACTACTTCTAGGGGAATGGTCCTAGAGTCCTGGAATTTTTTGCAGTAGGTAGCCTATACCTTGAAGGTGTGCCAGGCGGCCATCAAATTTCGCTGTCTAAAAGGGGGGTCCCCCCACGAATCATAGGACAACCAATTGGTCTCAGATGTTGCATACGCATGCCTTTAGTGGTGCAAAGTTAAACTTTAGAAAATGGGGGGGGGGGGGGGGCACATGTACTACCCTTCTAATTAAAGGTCTCAACGAAAGGGACTTGTTTAGATATTGTCCTGTTATAGAGTATTTACTTGTTTGGACAATAAATATTATTATTAATTTTCTGAATGCGGTTTTTAAGATACCTAGCTACTTATTTTAAGGTTTTTCGAACATTCATAGTTTATTTGATTTAAAATTAAATTATCTAAATTTTAAATTAAATAATTAAAAATTATAAAAATTAATATTTAAATTAGGTACCTATCTAGTTTTTTTGCGCATTTTTGAAAAAAATACGCTATTATATTCGTTATGGCTGGCTGGCCGGCTGTCCGGGTCAGATCTCAGCAACTACAATAGCTAGAGACTTAAAATTTTCACTAAAAGCTTTCTGCTATAGTGTAGATGTGCAGGCTCTAGTTTATTTTGATTTAGATTACTTGTGAGATCGATAATTTTAAACTTCGCTAATAAAATACTGACCTGTATTACCAAAAATGCGCTTTAATCATGCATATGCTGATTTACAACTTGTTAAGTTTCTAAGGTAAACAAAGTTTGTAAAGTGCTTATACCTCGGCTCGGCTTATACGTTAGAAGAGTTTTAGATATTGTCCCTAAACTATGATAGGCCGTAAACATAATTCTCGAAAGCAAATATCTTGGAACTTGCTGAAGGTGTTAAAGTGCTTCATAAGGTTTCTCTCATTAAGTTTTGAAAGTGATTTCCGTATAGGGTTTTAGCCTTTTAAGAGCTATAACCTATAACATATCTAGGATTTGCGAATAACTCTCTAAAAATGTCTAGAACCTTTCAGTTTATTTAAAATCCCCTAATCCACCTATAGGTTAAGTCCTATAAACTTTATAGGTACCTAATAAATCTCGCTGAACCTAGGTAAGTACCTAAAGTTATTAAACTTCGGAATTCGCCAATATTTGTAATTGTCCAGGTTTCTTAGAGTTCATAAAATCTCTTCAATTTGCTAGTTAACCGGTTAACCAAAGTTCAAAAGTCTCTAATGCCCCTGAATATTATCTTTTAGGTAGATATTAGAACTTTAGAAAATTCTAAACCTTCAAATTCAACAAACTCTCTAAAATCGTCAAGACTCATAGTCCATAAATTTTGCAAGTCTTTCAAGCCACCACAAGAACCAATTATACAGGCTGATTCAAATTCGAGGGCCATCAATGGAGATCTCGGAAACTGTAAAAGATAGGTAGGTAGTTTAAATTTGGCAAAGTTGCGTTTTTTCATCATTTTGATGCTTTAACAAAATGCTGTTTTGAAACTGAAAAAATTCCGGTTACCTACTTTTGGAGATACCCAGAAAAAAATGGAATTTTGAAAACCTGCACAATTTGTTGCATTGAAATCTATACCTATGTCCAACAAAAGATAATTCTACTCATTTTAAGTTATTTTTGCTTCTTTGCAAATATCCCCTGCATAAACAAATCCCAATTCCTAAGCAAATAAAAAAAACACACCCAATCAATACAAGATGTTCTGGGAACGGAGCACGTTATCTGATTTGTCCCGTTCTAATGTATGTGGAGGTCCACGCCCACAGAGCAGAATAAAATGGCTACTTGTTTTATCGTGCAACGTAAACAGAAAACCGGTTGCTAAAGGTAAAGGTGTACGGCATTTACATCAGGATAAGAGGGGTCATTAGCATAATGGCAAAATAAACACTTGATCTCAGAATGATGACCTATTACCTACAATTGAATAAATTCTTCAATGCTACTACAGAGAAGTTTAGCTTTAGATCAAAAATGTAGCAATAGTAGGTAGGTAGGTACTTGTTTGGTGTGAAAAACTTAATTAATATTAATTTATAGGTACTTAATAGCTTCCAAATTATCCCTAAGAATAGAAAAAATTGGAACATCTAGGTATAGGTAGGAAATAAAAATAGAATGATGCACCCTCTTTTGAAAAAATTAAAAATCAATCGCAAAATTACCAAAATTTGCACTGACAATTTCAGGTTCTAAACATTTGAAGAATGTTTTTAAAATGTATAGAATAATAGTAAAACAAATTTTAATTCGGAAAAATTCAATAATTTGAATACAAGAATTCAATATTTCAGACCATTTCATGAAAAATTCAGATAATTATCACACACTGAAAATTTCAAATTCATGGTCCAATCGAGAGAAGAATTTTCATGAAAGTTTGTATTGTTTTCCTAAAACAGGAATAGCTAAATATTAAAGAACAACAAATTCATATCTTATTTATATCCCGAACACTTTGGGCTCCTAAACTAAAGCCTATCGTGGCTGTACCTACGATTTGTTTTCACAGGAATTAGCGGCAATTCTCACCCAAGGCAAACTTATTCATACAAATAATATTCACATTGTAAACAAAAAATTAGGTAAACTGTAGTATTTAAACAATGCTATAATTATCATGAAGCGTAGTACTTACCTTCACTGAATGATGATGGATGATGGAATGGCAGCACCCCAATGACTGGCACACAGGACGGCTGCGTTTGACTCGCTTCGCTTGAGTTTTCTCCTTGCGAGATTACCATTTTAACCCCACTGGAAAGTTATCACAGTAATTATACAAGGTGTAACATGTCCGCATGTAAACAAAAATTGGGTGATAAAAGGGGATCAAGACAAGCACTTTTTCCAAATAAACCGAGGGTCCAACATGTTTCGTTTGGGAGCCACCTCCAAAGAAGCAGTGAAAT